ATATATATATATGTATATATAAAATTATAATATAATTTACGTTTTATAAAATAAGATGATGTAAAAAGGTTGAACTTTCTTTTATTTTATTTTATTTTTTTTTTGTTTTTCAGGATAATAATATTGAAATATGGAGTCTTGGCTGAGCGACGTGCAACGCGTAAGAATTCCGCGGCCGAAATTCGGAAGCGGAAATTCCGTGAGAAGGTCAAACTCGAGCGTGCAACACGTGCGACCTGAAGTTCACTCGAAACAGGTCCAAGATGTGGCCAAGGCCACCGAGGAACTTCGACAGGCATTACAGGATAAGCTTTGATCAAGAAGAATAATCGAGTCGAAGAGTAGAATCGAGAAAAGAAAAAAAAAAAAAGAAGAAGAAGAAGAAGAAGGAGTGCCGACGCGAAAGACTTCTCTCTCGTACCTTTTGCCAGACCCTCGTCTCCGTCACGACGAAAGCCTATTCTTCCTCAAGGACAAAGCTCGAGATCTCGATCGAATATTATTTAGTTGTGATCTTCTCGAGGATTGACAGATAAATAGATCGATTTCGTTTCAATAAATTCGGGCTTTCCCAATGACGTTCGTCTTTACCCCGAATCAAATTTCATGCTTTAATCTACATATATGTATGTATGTATGTATGTATGTATGTATGTATGTATGTATGTATGTATGTATTCATATACGTTGTATGTATGTATATATAAATGTATGCTTGCTATGATTTCTTTTCTAAAATTGCGTCGGTAAAGTGAAAGTTTAGAGGAGTACGGATTCGAATGCGAAATCGAGTGCGAGGTAATTCTTTTCATTTAAAATCAATTCGATGAACGAACATTTTCTTTTTTTCTTTTTTTCTTTCTTTCCCTTTTGTTTTATTTTTTTTTTTTTTTCCTTCCTTTAATTTATTTATTTTAAGTTCCGTTTCTTATTTTTCGTTTTTGTTTTCTTTTGCAATCGCTCGCTCGTAAATTTCACTATGTCGAAACGTCGGAACGATTGAACGTCAACATGACATGGGGTTTCAGACCAGAGGCGAGATCGCTTTTCTTTTTTTTTAATTGTCGTCTTTTTGTTTTCTTGTGTATGTTTTTTTTTTTCTTTCTTTCTTTTTCTTTTCATTGGACGACGTAAACCGTAATTAATAATGTTTAGTTTTTTAAGTTACAAACGCGTATACCTATTGTATTTGCTTTTAAATAAGAGACGTAAAATACTATGTATGTAATATTTGAAATAAATCTTTTTTATATTAAATTATGTCACTCCTTTTGTAAGATATGATCGAGATATTAATTTTCTTATTATATTTATATTTGTTTGTCATCGATCAGAATTACGATCATTTGTCGAACGTTTTTAATTCTATTTTTCGTTTTAATCTTCGTAATATAATATTTTTTTTTTTTTTTTTAATTTTTTCTCCCTTGTTTTCTTTTCCAATAAAAATACTTCTATAAGAAACACACCAAAGATTCGACCAATTAGTTAATCGCACGTTTGATCTAACAATAAGGAATCGAATATATATTTAAAAGAACATTTCAATGGTGACTTTAAAACAAGCAGATAACGTATCGACAAGGACACCTTGACATTTTCTCGAATATAATTTCGAGATACTGCGCAAAAAGCAATAACTTATCATTATCTTTTACGACTAAATTGACATTTAATTTTTTTTATATCGAACATTTTTATAACCGAAACACATTTAACATACCCCGATATCAATACTCAAGGAAAATAATTGGGTCTCGAGAAGGTGAAGAAAAAAATGGGCAAAAAAAAAAATAAATAAATAAATAAATAAAAAACGAAAAGAAGAAAAATTTGACAAAATTTCGAATATCTTTAATAATTAAACATTTTGATTGCGCGTTAATGATCTACAAGTCTCATCGGGATGATACCAATAACGAAACTTTATCGTGAATCATTTAACGCCTCTATACCGATCTCAATCGTATTATCGATCATCCGATCGACATTTTTTTTACTCTAAAAGAATTATATATCTTGTTCTAACCGATTAACTACCACACACGTTCACGAGATATAATAACTCGCTATCATCTTAATTACATCAACCTGGTAAGAAGTACCAACTTACACGTTCGTATTTTCCTTCAAAAAAGAGAGAAAGAGAGATATATAGAGAGAACGAAGAATGAAAAAAGGAAAAGAAAAATAAATAAGAGGAAACTGAGAAAGGAGCAATATCCATCGTGGTAAGCGATGGGAAATCTCGTGATTATCTCGATTACTATAGTCTTCGATCGCGTGCGAAACGTTCAAACCATTCCCCTCGTTCCTGAACTCTTCCCCTTGACTACTGACTACCTTCTTTCAAGGGCTTCATTTAATTCTGATAAACTATCATGAGTGAAGTTTCATCTTGAGTAATATTTTTTTCCTCCAACCCTCTATAACGCTATATACCTAGTTATTTTTTTTTTTCAAAAGTCTCGCTTCAATTTCCTTTTTTATTTTTATTTTT